CGAGTACTTTCACGGCCGGAACCGATGGGTGGAGTACAGCGACGACGCGTATCTCGATTACGACGCCTCGCAGATACCGGCGGAATGGCACGGATGGATGCACTACACCACTGACATACCGCCCACTGTTAAGCCGCCCGTGAAGTACAAGTGGATGTGCGACGAGCATCGCGTCAACTTTACCGGCACTCATCTCCAGTACGTGCCCTACAGTACCACCAGAGAGAAGATCCAGAAGTGGGACAAACGGTTGCCGCAGATCACCGCTAGTGAGAAGTAGCCGCTAATCCGGTCCGCTCTCTCCCTTTGATGCTTTCGTTTAGGCCTTTATTTTATGTTTTTGTTTTAGTCTTTGAATTGTAATTTAAAGTTAAATAAAATATTAATTAATTAGTTATCAAATCTCGTGATTTAATTGTATTATTTTTTGTGTTTGATTTTGTTTTTGTTTTATACGATCCACTATTGAAAAGGATGTTATCATTTGATCGGAAACTTACAAACGTATTGTGTTTTTGGTTTAATTAGAAAAACAGGTTTTGAATTACGAGATGATTGTTAGCGTTAGAGGATTGCGAGTTGATATTTATCGCAAAAAGCAATTAAAATGATCGATATTGAAAATTCCCAAACAAATACTTTTTTAAAATAAACAATTTGAATATAATCTCATATTTCAATTGAAAAAATATTATTTGAGAATATTATTATTCAAATTATGCGTTAGTTTTTGTGTAAATAGCATTCATTTGCGTCAAACAATCATAATTATGTTTAATAAGTTAATAGCAAAAATTGTTGGCATAATTGTATGGCTAAATAGCGACCCATTCCCATATCCCGTGTCATCCGTTCCCATAATACACTGTTCCGCACCTAAACTACAAATACAGTGCATTAATAATAACAAAAATATTTTGTTTATCGATTTGATTATTGGCTAAAAAGGCGATTGCGATAATAAAATACATTAAAAAAAGTTGTCATAATTGCTATCAATCAAACATTTGCGGAATCCATTTGAGAGATTCATTGAACGTATGCATGGATTTGGGTGTATATGTGTTTCAATGATCTTTTGATTCATTATATCTCGCATTGAGATTACAAGAGAGAGAAAGAGAAGTCAAGTCTTTCACACTTGAACTTTGTTTTCAGCGATTCTTCCCATGAAATCATATTTTCCATTCGTTTCAATGAGACGTCAATTCAATTAGAAATAAATATTAAACTATAAATTCACTTATGATTTATGTTTATATGTTTCGCATTTCATTGACTCTTAAGTAACAATTAATCTCTTGTTTGTGAACAGAAAACAATTTTGAAATATTAAAAAGTAGTGAAATATATTAACGCAATGAATATTTTAAGCTTTTTTGGCCTGAGTTTTGCGCTTCTCTTCAATTGCAATGCTTTTGATATTAAGACAATTGGAGACAGAATTTCATTTTTAAACAGTGGTATGAAAAAAGTGTCGTAACTTTAAAATGAAATTTTTTAAAAAAATATTGTGACATTTTATCTAATGATAATTCAATGATTGAAATATAGAGTTAGGAGTTATAGAGTCGGTAAAGGATGAGACGGAGAAAACTCACAGGCTGTAGACGCGGGTCTTCACGCGGTTTCTGTAGCTACTCGAGTTCTTCTTATACTGTCTTGAGATATACCGAAAAGACCATGAAGTGCGTCTCAAGCGAGTGTAATTGGTTGTGTACCATATTCACGAGAAGGCTCTCAAACATATCGCACTTATGGGACATAAATCTAAACACAGTTCCGATCACCACAACAGTGACCACAACTTCAGATCTGACTAGAGTTCGCTCACATTAACCAACACATGGTATTTCACGAGAAGGCTCTCAAACATATCGCACTTATGGGACATAAATCTAAACACAGTTCCGATCACCACAACAGTGACCACAACTTCAGATCTGACCAAATATCTAACGACACTGAAAGCCAAATGAATTTAAACGTAACGCAAGAATTGGACAGTAAATCACAACATAATCATCACAATCATGGCCCGCATAATGGCCATCATCATCACCATCAGCACAATCATCATCATAACCATCATAAGGATCACAAACACAATAAAAATCCCATAATTTCTCAAATACACGACATTAAAGACAACCCGATTCCAGAAAATCCAAAGAAGACTAAAGACAAAGATAAAGACAGTTCTGAAGAATCGGCAGAAGAGACATCTTCGGTGGCAACAGTTGCGGACAATTCCAAAATTATGCCTAATATAAGCGGTGAAGTAAATGAATCCCAGACACCATCAGTTCAGACATCGAACTCCACCAACACATCCAACTCTTCTCAATCATCGACTGGTGTATCGGAAGAAGAATTCAATCAATGGTTTGACAATATGTTGAATGATATCCATCACAGCCATCACGACATCAATGACAGAATAGTTGGCGAATCAAGTAATCGATTGAAATTTTACAGACAATTGGATGAATCGAAAGATAATCAGAAAAATGCGGACGAAATGGAAAATGCGTTGACTTCGGAAGATGTGGTCTTTGCGAAGTGTGTTCTGCGACCGAATCGACACATCGCTCTTCTCAACCAACAGGACATTGAGGGCACTATTCATATGTGGCAACTCAGACACAACAGGGGACCCATTCATATGCACGTCAAACTAAAGGGCTTCAAAGTGGCCAATCATGTCCACAGCCATAGCCAACAACACGCCAACCATAACCCCAATCATAGCACTCGACGTAAACGAGAATCCAATTTAATACCCGTAGAAGTAGAGCCCGAAGACACGACCGGCTCTCCCATCGGTGCCTCACATAGTCATGGTTTTCATGTTCACGAATCGGGAAACTTGTCCAGAGATTGTCAATCGGTGGGCAATCACTACAATCCACTTAACTTAGCCCACGGCGGACCCTATGATGTGATCAGACATGTGGGAGACTTAGGGAACATCCGTTGCGACCGAAACGGCGAAATGGATTTGGAGTTAGTTTATAGTCAGGTCTCACTTTCAGGTGAACACAGTATTATAAATAGATCTCTTGTGGTAAGTATTGAGCTTTCAATTGATATTAATTGTGTAAAGTTGTGATTAAAAGCATAACTCCTTAATCAGATCCACAACAAACCGGATGATTACGGCCGCAACCCTAACAACCCTTCGAGCGCAACGACTGGCAGTTCGGGCGTAAGGATCGCCTGTTGTCTCGTAGAAGAAGTAAATGAGTTACCAAAAGAAGAGGACAGTAAGAGTGGTGTGGGATCTGTTGCCGCATCCAAGACCAGACGCGAGACCTCACGAAAAGTAATCAATAAACTAAAACATGAAGAGTGAATACCAGTGAAACACTAGACATGATTTCAAAGTACGAAAAGCGCATGAAATCTAATACATTATTAAATCATAGAAACAGACATTAGAGGCGAGAAATAATTAAAAACAACTAAATGTGACTTCAATTCAATTCATATTTTATTCAATATATAAATAAATAAAACACAATATATTTTAAAGATTTTTATTTTTCCAAAAAGAAAAAAATATTTATTTTAAAACATTATTTCGTTTTTCGTTTAATATTAAAATGATATATAATTTAGATTTGATTGAAAATCGGGAGAGAAAATTGATTCGCGAAACAATATATTGATTTAAAAGATGCAAATAATTCATACGTTAAATGAATGGACAATCAATGCGTTTGAATTGAGTTTTAGTATTAATGAGTGTTATTTAGTGAAAAGAGAGGAAAACAGAGAGATTGTTGAAGAGATAGTAAACTATAAAATAATGATTGATTTAAATTTGTATTCCATTATAACAATCGATTCAAATACCAAAGAATATAAGAAGACATTAAGAATTATCCAATCAATTGTATTCTCAGATAAAATGTTTGATTAAATTCAATGAAAATAAAAACACTTCAAATATATATTATTATGAAAACCAAAATGTTTTAATGGATTATAATATCAGCGGATTTGTTGTATTTGTCAGACATTGTGATGAAAGGGTACGTAACGCGCGCCCGGAGTGGGTGTGTGCCTGATGTCAGTGTAGGTGCCGTTAGAACCGGGACCTGATATAGACGGCCGCCACGTCGTGTTCGCTGTAACCCAAGTGTTTCGCGTGTTTAAACACTTCGTTGGTGGAGGCGGTGATGGGTATCGGGTGTTCGTACACCTCAGCCAACTGTAAGGCCAGCCGCAGGTCTTTTTGCATGTGTGTTAACGGCATCTCCGTTGCGAACCCGCCGTCAATCATAGACTTACCCTTCGATATGAGTGTCTGACAGTTGAGCGGCGAAAGCGATAGGATTTCCAATAAGTCTTTTTGCGATAAACTGGTTCTGTCGGCCAACGCCATGCTCTCGGCCAACGAGCCAATCAGATTGCCGATCAACATGGACACCACCAGGTTCATTTTGGACGCGTCGCCCACCTGACCGCCCAAATAGAACGCGTGTTTACTGATGGCTTGGAAACAGGAGTTGCATTCGTCGAACAGTGACTTATCGCCCGCCACAATGACCGTCAGATTTCCCTCTTCCGCCTGCAATTTGCCGCTCCCAATGAGTGGCGCCTCCAGATAGCGACCCCCTCTCGCCATTATGGCCTCCGATATATCATTGCTGGTGTCGGCGTCTATTGTGGTCATCTCGACGTACCCTTTGGTCGATCGGATTTCGGCTAAAATACCGCAGTTTCCAAACACTATCTCTTTGACGGCATGCGGATCAGCCAAACACGAAAATATTATATCAGACGCGGCCACCACATCGGCCGGAGTGGTCGCCTTCACTGCTCCCGCTTTTACAAAGTCCTTGCATTTACTGGGAGTTCGGTTCCAAATGGTGACCGTATGGCCAGAGTTTAACAAATTCTTCAGCAATCGCTGACCCATTAATCCTAAGCCAATGAATCCGAACTTTAGACTCGACGGTTGAATAGTCTTAGACTTAGCGGATATAGTCTTGAGATCCACTTCCGGCTGATCGTTGACAGCAGTGCTGTTGGAGTCGAGTAAGTATTGTGAGGTTCGGGCCAATAGATTGCGAGCCGCAGACTTGGCCGGAGATTTAGCGGCCGAAGTGTTGTTCACATTCTCTTCAATGGACGCGCTTTTGGAGCGCTTGGCGGGCGGAGGCGGCGCGTCGTCGTCATTGGCCGCCGGTGTCGAGGCTTTCGATTTGCCGGCCTTTGACTTTGGACCAAATGGAGTTCGACTGTAATCGCGTTGACCAGCGGTCGGTGTACTCGCGGCCGAAGCCGAGTTCGTAGCGTTGGTCTTCTTCTCCTCGCCGTCAGTCTTATTGCCCGTAAAAATAGTGGCAATTTCTTCATCAATCGACGGCAGTTTCAGACCTAATGGCAGACAAAAACACACATTAATTGGGTCTTAAAATGGATGACAAAATATAACATAAAAAGTGTCCAAAAATAAGCGACAAAAACGTGGGATAAACTCAAAAACGATAATTAAAAACAAATGGCAAACAAACGGTGCGGTTTTTCGGCGAAATCGCAAACACAATGCAATTGCAAACCTTTATTGTCGTCACCAGCGGTTCTGAGTCCCGGTTCTTTGTCTGCGGCGCTCTTATCCGCACCGGTTTGGGCGGACAGAGCGTTGACACTAGTCTTATGTGACAAATTGGTACCTGAATTGGGTGTCTGATCGCCGGCAGTGGCTGTGGTCACGGGTGCTATCTCTCCGGTTTTGATGAACTCCTCGATCTTCTCGATGGCCTCCTTAAAGGCGTGGCTTTTGTTGAGTTTGCAGTTCTGGTCCTTGAACTCGGCGTACGGTTTGATGGCGTCCTCTTGGATCCAACCGAAGTTATTCGAGCCAAAGAAGTACACGCATTGAATCGACTTCTGGCGCAGATTGCCGGGCGGTTTGGGCGACCGCAGGTTCGCCTGCGAGCCGTCCACTATCTTCCCCGGCCAGGGGCTGAAGCCCTTCATCTTCGCCCAAACCAGGTCTCCGATCGTGAACTTTGGTCCGCTCGACGACATCACTGCAACCAATCTGTGTCTCTCTCTCGCTGTCGGATCTGTTGTCGTGTCTTCACGTCTCGTCCCCCGAATGGGATGTGATGTACGAGTGTTGTGATGGTGTGGTGTCGGACGCGATCACTGGATCCGATGTGTAGTGATGTTTGCGATGTTTTGGCGGAACAATAGATTGAATGCAAAACCAAAATGGATGTCAAGAAAGTGCCGCCACAGCCACCGGTCCTACACTTCACACACATATAGTACGTCCACTAACTCTCCCCTCCCTTCTGGTCCCTAACAACACTTCCCGACACACCATCCGCACCACTATATCATCATATAATGCTCTCTGAGTACAAATAAATTGATTTTACTATTAATTTTTGTATATTATATGCAATTAATTATGATTTAAATGCAATTTAGATCAACACTTGGCGGACGTAATTGACGCTCGCAATTGTTTAATAGTATTTCTATATAAACACCAAAACTCGTTATGTGTTTAATGAGAGTTACGCCCTTTTGGCAGTGAATGATAGCGCTATGCGTGCCATAGAGTGAGTGAGAAAAGGCCGTAAGTGTGTTGTGTTTGTTTTGGTGTTTCACTGTTTTCACTGCAATACATGTCACGTCATCTCATATTAAATGCAATCATAAATACGCGAAACATATTTGAAAATGAATTGAAATGAAAAAAGTTTTTGCAAAACATTTTGTGGATAAATAAAGCGATAGTATTAGCGAAACAATGCATGCATTTTCATGTGTTAGCTCTTATGAAGTGGACTGTATATTATGGGGGGAATGAGTGGTGGAGTGAATCGATTCCCCCATTCATTCAGTGTAGGTGTAGTTGTGTTGAGTGAAAAGCGATACGACAAATGGGCGGAGCGTTTGTTATGGGCTTTTGATTGCCATTCGCTTCAATACCACTACTCCTACCACTAGAAACACTCGCACATCGCTATAGTATACACCATTCAGATTGCATTCAGTTTACATTTGTTATGTAACTTTATTTAGACATTTCTCTATTTATTTGTAAACGTATGAACAAGTAGCATTATAAAACTAATCAAGGTAATTTAGTTACAATTGTTAACAGTCGTAATAATGTAAATGATTAATTATATACACCTAATTTAATTTAGCAATTGCATCGTGATTTTTATAACCCGTAACTTATAACTGGCTTTGACTGTAATTATTGGTTTGTTTACCAAAGTTTTGATTTGTGGGCAGAAAAAAAGTTTTTGAAGTATTGTTTGAAATGTCATTCATTAATGGTTTTTGTTTTTTAATCACTCAAACAGTTGTTTATTATTTGAGTTGAGTTTTTATTTTATCCGTCAATTGATTTAATGCCACAAATGTTTACCGCAAAAGCATTCCTCCGATGTCTGTAACGATGAGCGGACCAAACAGTGACAGCAATAAGACATCGAGTCTTCCGATTATAAGTTGGGTCCAGAAGAT